ACGCCGCTCCGCGCGGCGCCCACGCCGCCCCGCGCACGCGCCGCGGGCACGGACTCTGGGAGGGAGGAGGAGGGAGGAGGGAGGAGGGAGGAGGAGGGAGGAGGGAGGAGCGAGGGGGGAGGGTCCCAGAGGTGGAAAACCAGATTCAAATTCCGAGCTTTCGGCCCCAGGGGCTCCCAGGAGGCCCTAAGAGGTCCCCAGGAGGCCCCAGGGGGGCCCAAAATTGCTTCGGAGGGCGGTCCGATGAGCGCCGCGGCGGCCCCAATCAGCCGCCCACCACCCTGAAGACGGCTTCGACGGATCACGGGACGTCTCCAACGGCCCCAGAGGCTTCGATGACGCCTCATAACCCGTGCAATTTGCCTTCCACGAGGGCCCCGAGAGGCAGCGGATATGGCGCGGACGGCATCCCAAATGCCAGAGTGTTGGGGCGCGGTTCATGGGGGAGCGCCATGGGGCCTTCGCCCCGAGGTGTTTCTTCACCATGTTCATGATATCGCTTGCGTCACTGCAGCCACATGCATGACCCCCTCAATCAATATACTCCTCGACGGTCCAAGGGCGCCCAAGATGCCCCAAGTGCCACCGCTGCCTCCGTTTCGCCGCTGGCATTTCGGTGCGAGTTTGGTACCGCGCCTGCCAGGTCCTTATCTCTTTGTTTCGCTATTTCTCTCTCTCTCTCTCTCTTTCTCTCTCTCTCTCTCTCTCGCCCTCCACCTTCTCCGCCTCGGCCTCTCAGGGAGTGTCCACGAAAAGGGTTTAATCTGGAGTTAACCTTCCTCGGGGTGGACCCTTGCGACGCTCGGCGTCCGCCAAAGGGGTTTAATCTGGAGTTAACCCTCTTCATGGTGGACCCCTGCGACGCTCGGCGTCCACGGGAAGGGTTTAATCTGGAGTTAATACCCTCTCAGGGTGAATGCATCGACGCTCACCCAACGGAGGGTTAACTCCAGAGTCAACCTTTTCTAACTCCTGATTACAGCCTCTTCCGGAGGGAGGAGGGAGGAGGGAGGAGGAGGAGAAGGAGGAGGAGGAGGAGGAGGAACAGGAGGAGGAGGAGGAGGAGGAGTCACTGCTCGCCTTCTCGCGCAGTGGCTCGTTTCGCACACGCTGGCGGAAGGCCTCCCGTGGTAGCTGGTGACGGCGGGCTCCTGCGCCGCCTTCTGCGGCCACCTCTCAGCCTCCTGGCACGCGCTGGGATTCGCACTGCAGCTGGTGAGGTTGGGGTCATGATTCGCCTCCGCTGGCCCTACTTTCTCGCACGCGCTGTCGGCGTGGTCGCTGACGGTCATCACCTCCCACACCTGACCCTTGACAGCCACCGCGAAGATCATCGCCCTGGCTTCACCTATCTGCGCGAGGAGGCGTCGCCTCCGATGGGACACGGCTGGGTACAAGCACGGGCACCACGCAACGCTCGAAGGTTTCGTCGCAGTGCCCGCGCCAGTCTCCGACAGGGTCGCCACGGAACCTGCTGACGTCGGCCGCCTTCTTCGCCGCCGTCTCGTGCTAAAACTGGCACGCCTCCTCGCACGCGCCACCAGCAGGTGCGAGTACACAACGGCAGCTGGCGAGTCTGACTCCTTCCTCGCCTCGATCTCCGCTGCTGGCTCCCTGCCTCCTCGCACACGCCGCCAGCAGGTAGCTACACCGCGGCCGCCTGGTGGCATCGAGCTCTGGCTTCCCCTGTCGCCCGCCGGGCGACCCCCCCGGCCTTCTCGCACGCCTCGTCGGCGAGCTCGCCACGGCAACGGGTGCCCTCACGCGCGCGGCCGGCAGAGTCCCCGCTGCCGCGGACGACGCCAGGATCCTTGTACCGCCTTCTTCGGCGACGCGCAGGTGCGACCCTAGGCAAGAGTGACCCTCAGTGCTCGGAGGAAGGGGGGCGCAGGGTGGCCAGATCCAAGCGCGCCGGCAGCCACACGATCGCATCGCGCTCGGCGATCGGGGGCCGCCAATGAGCCCGCACCACAGGCCACTCTGGCGAAGGGTCACTCGTATGTCTAGCCTTAGGTCGGGCACGTCCCCCTACAGGCGGATTTGGGATGCAACCTCG